AGCGTGGCGAATATTTGCATTTTCATTGTTGTATATGAGTTATGCAACCTCCCCGCATAATTTTGTAATATAGTCACATGCATATGATAGTTTGAAAGATATATACAATTTGCAAACGCCTGTGTGCTTTTGAAATTGACCAATGGTTAGGAGAATCTCATTCTTTTGTGCTGCAAGTTCAGAAGATGGGTGGATGTTGCCAAGTCCCAAGCTGGTGAAGTATAAGTCGCTATGGACCAAATGAATGTTTTGTGAAGGGTTCATTTAATGCTGGTGCTTAATCACCCAATTCTGAATAAGGATTAGATTCTAATAAATGTTGTAAGTGCCTAAACTTCGATCACTCCTTCATTGGCTGCATCCTGTTGTGTGTTACAGATATACTCGTATATGTCACCGTCAACACAACAGATACTCAGTTTTATTTCTGGTCTTTATACTGCTACATGTTTCGGTCACATAAAACCATCATCAGACAGTTGTACACAGGAATATGTAGTCATTGAAAAATACCAATAAGGATCCTTATCGGTGCATTGTGTCGTGTTATGTACTGACATAAAACTCTTGCCTCAAGTTTATGTTATAATAGAGTAGCAAATACATAAAAAAAGCATGAACGACAAATATAAGGGTATATTGCATATCAAATTATAATTTTCTGAAATGCTGTAAAGGTATGTTAAAAGTGTTAGAAAATGTGAAAGGTTTTTTTGATAATAGGTTGAGAATTGTAACACCCTCAGTCTGTGTTCCTCCCTTAATGTCAGAGACCAAGTTTCATGCCCATACAGAACCACAGGCATAATTATAGTTTTGTATATTTTAATTTTTATGTTTTTGGACAGCAGAAGAGAAAACAAAAGGTTCTGGACTGAATGTTAGTAAGCATTATCTGACTTCAATTTTCTTTTAATTTCCTCAATGAGGTTTTGATTTGTTGTCGGCCCCAAATAACTGAACTGTGCCACATTTTCAAAACACCTGTATTCTATCGTTGTATTATGATTTTACCTGCATGATGATGAGGCAGCAATATACACTTAATTTTCTCTGTGTTCTCTAATGTTCTTGTTCTTATTGTTCATTGCAAGCTCATCAATTTTGTCTTTCAGATATACCCTCTTTTTGTTCCTGAAATGCCTGATGGTTTCATGTCTTATAATTGTTCAGATTATCCCCATTTATTTCACCTGGATCCTGCAACCACTGCAGTTTGGCTTGTTTTCTTTGGTCTGATAATTCTGAGATCCTTCGTCAAACCATTGCTTATGCCTGTTCAATTCATAATAACCTAGACTCTCCTTGGCAGAAATTTTGATATTCTCGCTAATAGTTTCCCAAGCTTTATTAATGTCCACCTCACTGTCTTAAGTTTTTCAAAGCTGCAAACCTATTTGAGATTTCAACGTGATACTGTACCTTACACTCTACCTCGTTTAATTTCTTTAGATTGAACCACTCCATAAGAACTCTGTGCGTTGTTTGTTTACTCACTGCCAGTCTTTCCATAACCTTTGCGACCACCAGGTAGTGGCCAGTATCTCAATATGAGTGGCTGATTTATTATGTCGAAATTCCTAATCATGACCCTCGACTCCTCTACAGAAGTCTTGAGAGAATGATGTTGGATAAAATCCTGTATGAAATTGATAGCTGAAATATACCTGGATAATTACTACAATCAATTTTATTATTCTTCCCGAAGAGAGGTAATTCTTTGTTATATCAAACTGAACTAATAAATTTAGGGATAGCAGAACATAATGTTTCACATCCTCCTTGAATTATTTCTGTCAGAATTTGATTGGTACTCAGTGACTTGCATCTTTTCAACTCTTCAGTGATAATTTCAACATCAGATGGATTAGACTCAGGTACTAATGGCTCATTTGGACATATTTAAGTCTGCTTAAAATCACTAGCTGTATGTATATTCACTCTCTGAGAGAAATCATTCTCCCATCTATTCAAAATACATAGGCATCTGCACTCAGTTCACCCCTTTCATTGATAACCAAGTTAATTCTTGGTTTGTAATAGTTCTCAAAATCGTTAGAGTCCCTATACAAGTCTGCTGTTCTTGCTCATTATGTTCCATTTGAAGCATATTGATTTTGAATGTTAGAAATTCCCTCTTTTCTTCCTGAATTGTCCACCATCTTCTCATTTGGCAATGATCATATTAACTCCATTTATTTCACTCAGATCTTCTAACAAACGCCGTTAATTTGTATCACTTTATTTTGCCGTTTGAACTTTCTTCACTAAACCACTGCTTATGATTATTTAACTCCTCTTAGCTAGATTGTTTTTGTGTGAAAATTTTGATGGTATTCTAATACATTCCTAGGCCCTACCTCATGTCTTCAGCATCATCTACATCCTCCAAAACTGCTGACACACATTTTCCTTTATCTTTATTTACCTGTTTGAGATTGAATCTCGTATCAAATAACCTGAATTGTTGCTTTACAGACAATCCCTCCAACTTTTGCAGTCAGCAGGCAATGATCAGTATCAGTGAGCTCCTCTGAAAGACTTGTCATCAGGTACACTAGAATGTCATATCCTGATGGTAAAGATGGGAACAGTTGTGTTCAGGAGATATCCAAGTGTATTTTTAATGTCACAATGTGGGAACAGTGTACTCTTGAAAATTAGATTTTTTTAGTGTCTAACTTCATTATCATTACTAAGTCATTAGAAGTCCGCGCCATAGCTCAAGCAGTTAGTTGCTGGCTTCCCATGTCAGCGGCCCGGGTTCGATCACGGGTCTGGTCGAGTGGGATTTGTGGTGGACAAAGTGGCGCTGGGTCGAGTTTTCTCCCATTACTTCGATTTCCCTTGCCAATCTTCATTCCACCAAATTTTTCATCATAATTACCTGGGGCAGGTACAGTAGGCCAATCAGTGGCCACCGTGCCGAGTGGACCCAGCTGGACTCCACCCTCCACTAGCGAATTAAAATTAATTAATCATTATAAACTCTCATTCCCTATTATCAGATTGGCATTTGAATGTTGATATGATACTTATATACATAAACAGTGGTTAACTGTTTTAATACAGCTCTTGATTAACATGCTCAGGTTCCTCATAAAAGCTGTCCTTTGTATTATCTCTTTCATTGTCATTTGAGGAATGTACATTCAAAATTCAGCATCACACAAGTGAACTTTTAGTGTTGTATTTGACATCTTGCCACAAAGAAAACACCCCCCTTGACTGCTGATATTATTCCCCTTATCAACAAAATCTCTTTCCCCCACCTGATGATTGTCATTCCATTTTCCATTAAAGATATGTATTGTGCCGTATTAACTTCATGCGAGAACTGCTGAGCCAGAGAAACGGCCGCTTCTAAGTAACAGACGCACCAACAATAAAACAACAGGGTTATGCAACCCGTTTCTACTCAACGGCTCAATAAACAAATTCCCGCGAACGTGCAACAGTGGGAACTGTGTTCTCTGTGGGCTATGCTACAACTGATTGCTAGGTTACACAATAATTCTGACAACAGATGAGAGATTTTTCTATGTGGTCCATGCCGAAGAATTGTAAGAGGTTCCAGTCAGTCATAGCTGAGAAGCCGTCAGTCAAAGACCCGAAGCCATCATGGAAAGGAGTTGTGAGTTCAGGTCTGTACAGGAGGCTGCAAAGAAAAGCATTAGTTGCAAGAATGAGGCTGTGAAGAGAAGACTTCATGTGTAATATTTGGAATGTGTAATTCAGTGAAGGCATTGTAAAGGTGAAGCCACTTTTGAGATCTGATACCTAGCAACAACTAGTGTAAACAGATGTTGAAGATGTTATTTATGTGTCACAATTACATTAATCCTTAGAGTGTTATAATTATTTGTAGTTATGGCCTGTAAATGGTCAATAAATCCAATTACCAATTTGAATCCTTAGTCATTGAAACATGTGACAGTGGTATAATTGCCTGCTGGTTCAGTGCAACTCCTATTCCACAAAATACAATTTAAACTTTGCTGATTCTCTTGTTGCTGTTTTCACTGAACCTGCTCTACAGAAACTCCTTACAATCCATGTGCCAAATCTCATATGTGTTCCCTTGTGTAGGCAGTTCAAAAGAATTCCTTCAAGTCTGAGGACCAGTTTTTAACATTTTATAACATGCTGTTACTGTACAGTGAGGAGCTGATAGCCCACCATGCCTAACTGCCAAAAGCTGGAGAAGCCTGTATCAAGTGTCTGAGGCTGCACATATAACACTTCAACAGTTTCCCTTCATATCAGGAGGCCATCTCCTCCACTTGCAATCAGAGGTTCACCATGCCGTGGTGATAAGGGACCGACTAAATGCCAAACTGTACTTAATACAACTAAAAAATACAATTTTCTGGATTGTTTGCATGTTTATACAGAGGAAAATTTTGTTACTATCTGCGTTTAAATCATAACATATAAATAATATCACACAAGAGTGGAGAGTCATTAAGGAACATGAAGAATTTAGGTTCAAACACAAATAATACTCTCTGACTAATAAATCTATGACCTAAGTGTTTCAAGCCACTGAAAAAGGGTTGAGTTGAGAGCTACATGGCCACTTTTAGCAGTTCCCTAAATGAAAGTGAAATAGGCAAACCCTAAGGTGTAAGACACTTCTGTATTAGTTGAGCTGCTTCAAGTTTATTCTGACTGCTAAGTAATGGCACTGCTGTTTCTAAGAAACTTTACAAATATTGTGGCACAAAGAATAATGCTGGTATATTGTTCCAACTCAACTACCTGTATAAATGTGGAGCATAATAGTTTGTATTGTAAGATTTGAGGCTTTCACGGCGGTGACTATGAAGAAAGCAGTCTTCTGGGATTTGGCACCGTGTATATGTGGTGTTAACCGACGTTCCTCCGAAACGTCGGTTAACACCACATATACACGTTGCTTTCTTCATAGTTTGTATTGTTTAGCATATTATTTCTCAACAACTCAATGAACAATGCTTACAGTGATGGTGTCTTTTCAGGTCCCCCCAGTTTGCCAATATATGGAGCTTATTGGCTTCTGTTGTTAAACAACTGGACCTATATCCACAAGGCAATAGAGAAAATGAGATGCAGGTATCGCAGCAATTTGTTAGGGTTCTATCTTGGAGGTGTACCTACTGTTGTTGCTTGTGACTATGAGACCATCAAGGAAATAGAAACAAGACCCGAGTTTCTGGGAAGAATGGACACAATTATTGCAAGGGAACGTGGCCTTGGGAAGCTTCTGGGTATGCAGATTGTCATGCGTTTAAACTTCAATACTCTCATTATATAGGCATTCTTAAGATCAGAAAGAGTAACTCAGATAAATATATCACTGTTTCGCCTTAATGACAGGACAGTAGTTTATAATGGAGATACTAATTTCTGGAATTCAGACCATGACTGAATAACAGCAATTCAAATTTGTCAGAATTTACAACATATTATATAATATAATACTGACCTAAGATTCCTTAAACCTCTCTTTATTAAAAAAATAAGTGAATATTAATACTCATATTTACATCATTAAATCAAAAAAAAATAATACCTTCTAACATTTTGTGTATTAAAGATTTCGACCTTCTGGTACATAATGCTGTATAGTCCAGTGAGACCACCGACATTTCGGAGGAACCTATCACCTGCATCGTTAGATAAATAAGGAAAAGAAAAAAAGAATAGGCTTAAGCACCAAGCCATAAGAAACATAAGTTTGATTACACACACATATTTTTGCACTGTCACTCTTTTATACAAGCTGTTGTTTCAAGGCCATTTGAGGTAGATATTTCATTGTGTGGCTGCATTATCACGAAGCGGGTAGTTCTATGGCAGGGCTTGTCAGCCAAAGGGTTAAACAGTTTCCATAATTTGCAATGATATCTGTAATGTGCAGGTGTAATCCTGGCAGATGGACCTCTGTGGGCACATCAGAGACGTTACATGTTAAGGCACATGAGAGACTTTGGGTTTGGCACTCGCTCTGCCTCACTGGAGAACTTGGTGCAGCAGGAGATTCAGGATATGGTCGATATTCTGAATGGCAAGAAGCAGGATAAGGTGGGTATTTAGCCTGCATTTGGCATTGTATCTAGTTGCCTCTTTTAACTACTGAAAATTGTGTGAATTCTTGTCAAGTCAGTAATCTGCACAGAGGAGAATGCATCATATAAGAACCTTCACATATGACAGTACATTCAAGTCACAATTTTTGTATGTGACGTTGTGTTACTAATAGCGAGGTACCAACATTTCAGAGGGACCTGATGCAGCTTTCGTCTTCAGGGTAGAATAATGAGCCAAACCAAAAACAGTTGCATTATGACTGACAGTAAGTCAGTCCATCTCTTTTGTTTCTGTGATTTATTTTTCAGTGTTTGTTCTCAATCCCCTCTTGGAGCTAATGACCATATTTTAGTGACAGTCTTGATACTTATGATCTTGGACTGCCCTTTCTGACATTCAGTCCTTTGTCAGATATCCTAGTATCAATAGTACTAACCTGCGTCAACAGCCTTATGGCTATTGATTACTCAGCAAACAGCACTGCCTTTCAGTATAAATTTCACGAAATACTACAACTATGGGGGGCCCTTGATATCTGCTGGCTATTTTGTTTCATTAAATTTAGGATAAGTTCTGTCATGGCCTCCATTTTGCTTCTTCTGACACACTGCCATAAAGCTATATTATATGTGCTGTAGTGCAGTTGTAACCTTGAACATATAATTAAAAAATGATATATTGTCGCATGATGAAGATACTATAGATGGAGTTTGGATTGGTAAATTGATTTATTGGACACTCATACAGCTTGTGACTACACTTCACAAATCACTACCACACACAGTCATGGTCTTCACTGTGCTGCTTGGTAACATCCTCCAAGAGTGGAAGTTCCTTCACTCTCAGGTTGGCAGCTATGTCACTCCAAACTCCTAACTCTTCTGCCATCTCTGGATTGTTTTTTCATGGCAGCTGGTCCTTGTTATATTATCCTGGCATGAACCACAAAGAAAATACCGCTTCTAACAGTTCTTCTATTGTTAGGTGACATCACTTTCCATGAAAACCTAACAGAAAACACTGTTCCTCTGTTGCATGTTCAGTCATTGTTAGAGTGGTGAGATGCTTACTGTGCCATAACATAGTAACGGCTCTCTCTTCTGATTAAACCAATCCACCTTTCAGTGAACATGCCACAAAATTTCCATTCAAGACATGTTATCGGTGTGTAATGCTGCATGGGACACGGGACCTCTGCCCTCTCTGCTGAAAATGGCTCCATCTGCCCAGATTTCTTAGCCCATTCTGGGCTCTGTTCCTTCTCTAAGATAACAATGTTCCAGAGTTAGTTATTGTACTCAGTTTGTGGGTTTTCCAGGAACTATTATCAGATACAAGGAGAAATTTACCATTTGACTTCCCATGTCAGTCTCTTTGAAAAAAATCATCTGCTTCACAGTTATAAAATCAAAGCTCAGTAAGGGCAGACTCTTTAAAATGTCTTTCTCTGAGTGCAGCCCATCAGTGCTACTTCTGCCAGGGACCTGCTCCATTGGTTTTATCATCTGGTCTCTGGTTTTGCTGGCCATGGTGGCCTCAGGTTTGGGGTCTACTGCTGCTGCTCTGCTATGTAGAATATCCTTGGTATTTTTATTTGTGAAGTAAGAATCCAATCAGAGGATAGCAGATGGATGGTAATAAGCTGTTAGGCCAGTCTGGGCTCTGTATTCTGCACATTTTTTTAAATATTTGAATGATTGATTTGGGTGAAAATTCAGTGTGATTTCTAGCAGGAAGAAGCCATAGTAATTAGGAAGAATGGCAGGGAGATTGTGATTACTGGACCCTAAGGTGAGCGGCATCTGGGTGTTATTTGCATGATGGTTATGACATTAAAGTCAAGCTCCTGACAAACTAGAATTTTATCCTGTGGGCCGAGTGTTAATTGGAAGGCATGGGATTACTAAATTTATAGGATTACCCAACTTGGGATAGGAGCTAAAATGGCGCATTATGGATTGTAATAGATAGGGCAGCTTGGCCTTATAGACAATCACAATGCTATGCAAACCAAGGCTGCTGCAGCCCTCAGTAAGAATGAGGTGCTTATCATAGGTATACTTTGCTTTTGTAGAGAAATGAGATTAGCATGGGATATCAGGTTGATTGAAGATGGCCTCGCTGATTTGTGCTTTTGGCTGCCTTGATGTTCTATGCAGTCCTCCACATTGGATATTGGCTCAGGCAGGTCAGCGAGAACTTGTAGATAACACGGGGAAGCATGGACAATGGAAAATGGCGACTAAAATAACTGTTCTATCGGGAGTTAAAAACAAAATAAAGAAGTGCAAGAGAAAGAAAGATGAGGAAAGGATGGTCACAAATAATCTCAAATCTTAATTCATTCATTCATCTATAATCTGTCAAGACGACAGGTCCACAGTCTCTTCCAAAACAGTTCCTCCACTTGATACGATCCAGAGCTTTCTCCTTCAAATGAAAATATCCTCTTCTGTCGCCAGGGTCATCCAGCATCTTCTTACGTCTTCTTCCTCGTCTTCTGGTCACTTCTATCTGCCCCGCTATCTTTCCTTCAATAACTTCTTTTAGAAGGCAGTTACCGCGTAAGATATGACCAATCCAATTAGCCTTCCGTTTTCTTATTTCATGTAGGATATTCATCTGCTCACTGTCTCTAATTAACACTTCTTCATTTCTCACATAATCGGTCCAACTGATCTTCTCCATCCTTCTCCAGCACCACATTTTGAAGCTTTCCAGGTGTTTCTGATCTAGTGCCCTAAGTGTCCAAGTTTCAGCCCCATACAAAGCGATGCTCCAAATGTAGCATTTCACTAGTTTCTTTCTCAAATTTAAGTCCAATTTGCCGGTAAAAAGATTCTTCTTCTTGCTAAATGCAGCTTTTGCCGTGGCAATCCTAGATTTAATTTCACACGTACACCTTCCATTATCTATTAACAAGCTACCAAAATATTTAAAACATTTCACATTCTCCAGTTGTTCTTGGTCTATCTTTATTGTGACTGGGGTTGGTTGTCTCGAATTTTGTTTTTTCCACATTCATTTCCATGCCATAGCACCTTCCAATTTCGATTAGTAAAATCTTAATACAGTGCAATAAATCTCTGTTCTTTTGGGAAGGAAGATAAGAACCAGCTTCAAGTTTTGGCCAAGCTGTGAGCAGGGAAAGAAGTTTCATGGTTTTCCTCAGTGTCTTCAGCAGAATGTGGGAAATGTCACAACCATCTCCTTCCAATCTTTCCAGTGCTACATAGTCATTTACAGAGTTCAAATAAGAACATGTAACGTTTCCCCCCATAATGTATGAATGTGTACAGTTTTAATATCTGCCTGTTTAATGCTTTCATCTCAAGTTTTGATGCTGTTCTCTTCTTGCAGGGGATCTATAGAGATGGCCTGGCTTTATTGCCAGACCTGTTCTTTCACATCCTGCTCAATGCAATTTGGTCCATGTATGCAGGAGATCGTTTCTCATACACAGACCATGGACACGCACGCTTTATTGCACAACAAGGCATCAAATTTGTGCGTGCTAATGACCCTACAGGGAGAGCTCTTGCACTCACACCATGGATCAGACACATCTTTCCACAGAAGTCAGGATTCACTCAGATCAGAAACACAAATACTAAGTTGGTAGAAGTCATAAAGGTCAGTAAAATGAAAGCAAGGTTTCATTAATTCTGATTACTTTGAAATAAAAGGTTCTTATAGTTTTGGTAACAATTCAAGAATATGGGTCAGCAACAGGGCCATAGTTTGGAGACCCTTGGTCTAGATCAGTGGTTCTCAGCGGGGGCCATATGGCCTCCCAGTGGGCCAAGCCGTATTTCTGTGGGGCCGCAAACAAAATTTGGAAAATGGAGGGCCGTGGAAACTGTTAAGTGGGCCACAAAATTTTCACTTCTAAAATAAAATTATTAATAATTAAAGATAAATAAAAATGCCAAATGTTTAGTACATATAATAACACAATAACTCAATATCCTTGTTTTTGTGTACCTTACTTAGAAGGGATAGAACCTATTGTACTTAAACCACAACCTTAGATCTGGGAATTCCAAGTACCGGTAAACAGGTATGCGCCTTCTCAGAGTGGGTAGAGCCCTAACGAATTATCCTTTATTTTCCTAAATATCTCCCCCTCCTCTCATGAATTTTACCGCCACCTTTTCAGTAAATTTCAGGTGTTCTTCAGTTCAGTATTCAAAGTGTTTGGAAGAGGACCCCTTCCTTATTATCAATATTCCTTACGCTATAAACAAATAATAATTGTTATAAATAAAAGTACAGTTGATAAAGTACATATTTATAATCAATATTACATTTATTATAATTAAACAATATGAGGGGGGGGCCACAGAACTGAATGAAAGTCAGAAGTGGGCCACGAGCAAAAAAAGGTTGAGAACCACTGGTCTAGATAATGTGGGACCCTCAACATCTCACACCCCTATGGGCCTTCACGGCCTGGTACAAGGATAGCTTTACTGTTTTTACTTTTATTATTTTGATCATCACTAACTTAGGTATTCTAAATTCAAGGCAGATTTCCTTCATAATATATAATACAAGGAATGTACAAACTTCGTCCAGTGAGATTTAGGTGAGACTCAGTTCCAAGTGTGCTTATACTGAGGCTCCACTGATGTGATCTGCTGACATAGAATTCAGCATCTTTTTTTGTGCTTTTAAAATAATTTCATTATATTGTGATCTCTCATATAAATTATTCCATTCAGAATTCAGAAACATTATCAGATTCTGTAATAATGTTCTCCTGGAATTAACATGTAACATTTTTAATGCACATTTCCAGTAGTGCAATTTCTCAGGAGAACGAAGCCATTGACATTGGAAGTGAATGGAATTGCATGTCATTAACATTCCCATCTGTTGTAACATTGTGGACATAATACAAAGCATAAGAAATAAAGTTTAACAATTTTCATTTGATGCTTGGTTAAAAGGCAATTCAGTTTGAAACATGCCTGGAGTAAAACGCATATAATTAACATTTCAGCTACTTCATACTTCATGCTAGAAACACAACAAAGTTTTGGAATTGTTTAATTAGAAGTAAAAATTAAGTAAATCTACTTGCCAAACGAGCAACTGGGGTAGGATATTTACTTACAAATAAAACTGTCACAAGCTACACAGAATTTAATTTTAATCAGTTGTTCCTAAACTTTCTAAACATAAATGATCTCCCCATATTTTCGTTAACCAACCAAAATCTGTTCACCTTAGTGGCTTATATTTCAATGCCACCTTTTATATTCTGCTTGCTCTCATTCTGGCCAGGCACTGTAGTCTTTTTTTGGCACTCATCAAGTTAATTGATAATATCTGGAACATTTAGCTTTCCCCTGATATCTGTATTTTGTTTGTAATAACCAATAAAGGCCATAGGAACTTCCCTGGTGCTGTTGTTCAGTGTTTCTTATTTTCAGTATCAGGGCCTCACTACAGCATTTCAAAATTTACTTTTGCTGTGATGTTATGATTCTTGTCAGATTTCAGGTTCCTACAGGAGTAGCTATACGAGTGCCACCATCTTTAGGTTTATTACCACATAATTTGACTGAAATTCACTGATGTTTCAGAGAAATCTCTGTCCTCAGGGTTAAAGAGTAAGCCAAACAAGAAATCAGCAAGAAGCAAGATTGTGACCAAATTACATTGCATTGTATCCCAGAAGATTGTGCTCTTCAAATTCTAATCAAAGTGGTATTTTGTATTTATAGTGTGAATGAACAAGGGTGTGCTACACTGACCTGTACACCGTGACTGTCTGCAATCTGTTGTGTATTTATAGTAAATGTGAATGTCATTATACATATTTTTACATAATCCATATTCCTATATAGCGGCATGCAGTAGCGTAGTTGGTTGAGGCACTGTGTTAAGCCAGAAAGTCGCGGGTTTAAGTCCCAATGCGGTCATCAACTTTTTTTTCAATTGATCTAATCCCTCCAGCTGCACTATGACCCTGGTGTCAACTCAGCCTCTAACAGAAATGAGTACCACGAATATTCTTGGAATATTCTTGGGGGTAAAGGGCAGCTGGTGCATAGGGCTGACAACCTTGCTGCCATCTATGAGCCGATTGTCTAGAAAATGTGGGAACCACAACATCTCACAATCCTATGGGCCTCCACAGCCTGTAACAGGGATACCTTTACCTTTTATATTCCTATATAATCAAAAGCTTACACAGTTTAGACATTTTAACACTAATTTAATTTGTTTCATTCTGGTCCATTACACTAACAGGTTTACAATTAATTTTATTTCAGTTTATTTATTATGAATCGAAACATATTGGGTAACTGAGTGCTAAAATGGTGGAAGCATTATATATCACATTGGACTGAAATAAATTTAATTGTTTAAATCTAATATTAATGCTAATGATAATGTGATACAATGCCTAAAGTCCATGGGTTCTCAACCTTGAGAACTGCAGGAATATTGTAGAGTCATGCCAGCTGAAAGAGTTTGTGACAACTGTTGAGCTCAGTGTTGAATCTTCAGTCTACAGCAATGTGACATAAGGAAGCGTACCAGGTGAGTGGACAGATATGCTTGAACATAATGTGAACTTGCATTGTGTTTTCTCTTTTCAGAAAACAATTGATGAACATATCAGGACACATTCAGAGGACCACATGCGGGACTTCATTGATATCTACATCAAGGAAATGAAGACAAATGAGAACAATCCTAATGGATCACCATTCTCCGGTAGTAACAACATACTGTAATGTGTTTCGTTACTGAATACGCCGTAGAGATTGTTAATTGGTTTATTTAACAACCTACAAGTAACGGCTACAATTAATTATTACACAATTTTACACTTTATAACCCTAATCGCATTAATCTGTTTACACTGTTGCGGGGTTTCACGATTTATAACCCTATGCGCAAATCAGTTCACTCTCTCCTCAGTAGTCTACACGTTTACAGTAGGGGAGCTATGTATCACTGTATCACACACTCCCAATTACACAAATACACACACGTCCGGTTCTTCTTTCCGCGACGGCTGCTATACTCCAACTGTGGTCTGCTGACTTGAGGACTGTTGATAACACACTCACTCGTCTACTACTTAACTCTGCCGTAGCCACATTACAACTGACTCATAGCTGCTGTGCAGTTCCCTTATATAGCTGCAGTGGTGCCTGTTGCGTGCCGCGTCACCGTGTTTGCATATAGCCTAGCAACGCTGTTACCTCACGCCGTCTTACGTCACCGTGGTGGGGGGAGGGAGCGCTGACTCATTCGCCACGTCACTGTGACCTGAGTTGCCACGTTATTGCTGGGTAGGGAGGGGTTCTCCGTTGCGCAACATGTCACAATACTCATATTACTTGTTTTTTACGTCACTAACCACAGACAACAGCACTAATAATAATAATAATAATAATAATAATAATAATATAATTTAGCTAGAAGCTTCGCAAGAGCTAACCTCAATCACTGAACCAGTGACTGAGGTTAGCTCTTTCTAAGGGACCCTCACTTAAGGACGGAAACAGATCCTGTTTCTGAAATGTAGTGTTTTCTAGTTTCTAAAATACTGGATAATGCAAAAAGACCAAAAACCCAGTAATTTTTAGTGTTACACACTATCATCACAACCCTTTAGAATCTATTACATAAATTTGTACAGAGTTTTATTCCATTGTTCAATCTAAATTTAAAATAATTATAATTGCTAATTACCTGACAAACTGCATGGAACTGAGTCCAACAGAGAAGCCGACAGTTGCTCAGCCATTTCAGAAATTCCCAGGGATTTATTGAACCTGAATGTTCATTAACATGCTCAAAAGACCCTGGCACTCTTCCCTATCCTGCTCCAGATAAATCCTATACAAACCCCCCTCCTCTTTCTCTAAGATCCATTTCAATCCCATTTTAATGTCTTCCTATTGCTCTCTTTCCTTTAGATTTTGCTTCCAAAACCCTGTAGGCACTCATCTTCCTTCCCATGCTTCTGATGTCACTGAACAGAAAGTCTAATAGACAAATTACTACATAATAATTATTCTAGAGGAGCAGCTTATATTCCTGGGTTGGGATTTACTGGTTTCGACAGCAACCACACTGACTACAACCCTCTCCATGTACATCATGTACATGATGCATCACCCAGAAGTGCAGTCCAACATACAGAATGAGATCGACACAGTGGTGGGCCACAACAGATTGCCAACACTCAATGATCGATCAAAGTAAGTGACTGACAATGGTTGAATGCTTCCATGTTGTTTGCATTCCTTGAACTTAGTGTACATTGTACAGACTGTGTATGTTTCTCCTCTCAGAACAAAATAATGGACTGCAATGAAGTCTTTTTTTATGTGAGCTATCCTGTCAAATGTGTCAAATTTAATTCTGATTCATATTTACAATGTAACTCCTATTTTTCATGAAGATCAAATATTTATCAGATTTATCAAAGACTGACCACTCAGAAACATAAATATGTGTATCATATTACAGTGTAACACTTTCATATTAATCACATTTTGATTTGAAGACAGCAGTCTTCTGGAATGTGGCGTCATGTAGATATTGTGTTAACCGACGTTTCGGAGTAACGTATCACCTCCATATTCAGGGTAGAAGAGAAAAGAAGAAAATTCACAAGCAAGGAACCAGCATGAGCAGGTGCTAACAGACTAGTCAGATCTACCTGCTCTACACAGTGCCACATCCCAGAAGACTGCTTTGTTCATAGTCACCGCAGTGAAAACCTCAAATCTGACACATTTTGATTTTATCTACATTTAAAGAGAATATGAGGATTTTGTCTTCAAGATTATGTCACCATGTAGTATTGTAATTGGTTCCTAACATTTTGGAAGGACCTGATTCCTCACATTTTTGGTTCAATTCTGTAAATGGAAACAAAGTTTCTCTGAAATTTGCTTGTAACCACTTATGATACTACAAAGTGTCATGACCCAGAAGACCACAACCTTAGTTTTTATCACAATGAAGACATAAAATGACTTCTGGGAAATATAAGTATGCAGTATTATTTCTGAAGTTGATAAGTTTTCAACAGTGTATTTCTGTCTTCAGTAAATGAATGTGGATGACAATGAAACTTTGTACTACTGAATAAGAAGTTTCCAATTTTCTTCTTGTCAGTTGAGTGATGCTCTGAAATTATCATTGGTGCCCAGTTCACTGCAACCTAAGAAATCTTTACATGGGACCACTGTGTCATATTAAAAAATATCTCCGCATTACTCTTATAGGATGCCATATATGGAAGCTTCTCTGCGTGAGTTGATGAGGATTTCCTCAATTTTTTCTCTTGGCATTGCCCATAGAGCAACAGAGGACACACATCTCCGTGGATATTTTATACCAAAGGCAAGCATACAGACCATCTTCCAGCTTAATATTTCTCCTTATTAGTAACTTACATTCTTAATGAACTGTAACCGTTTCTTGGAGCTACTAGCTCTGGTAGAGAAATTCAACTCATCTCAAGCCGTGTTGACTGGCCACGACTTGGGTGGGTGATTAGGCGGAGGCTTCAGGTTTTGGAAGGTCAACATTCAATGCCAATTAGCTGTGTAAAGTCTTTATTCAAATTGCACTATACAAATGATAACTGCCCCGTAGTATCCACTTAGCTGATTGGTGGATTTAGGCTCCTGTGAATGTTTACTCACATACACACACACAAATGGATACAGGGGACCAGAACACGTGTACTCCCTGGTGAATGTAAATTTCAGAGTTCTCCACCAAGCGTTCTCTGAATGTTAAATATCTGCCCTGCTTATAGACTGTGTCATGTAATTTCGAACAAGGCCCGCATTCCTAGTCATACCTTGTGGTGGGAGGAGTTTCTTACCACTCATTCTTCCACTGGCTGCCTGTTACTTCTCACACCCTCCATCCACCCCCTTGTCTGAAATTTTTCTTATGCACATTCAAGGTTACTCTTGGCCTTGCTCAAAGTTACGTGACACTTGCTTTACCCCAAAATTCTNGAGCCAGATCTATCCAATCCATAAGAGACCAAGTTTCACACCCATACAGAACCACGGGCAAAATTATAGTTTTATATATTCTAATTTTTATGTTTTTGGACAACAGACAAGAAGACAAAAGGTTCTGGATTGAATGGTAGCAAGCATTACCCGAGTTCAGTCGTTTCTTAATTTCCTCCTGAATCAGGTTTTGATCTATTATCGTTGTTCCCAAATATCTGAACTGTGCCACATTTTCAGAACATCTGTTTCCTATCTTTATGTCATGATTTTGCCCTGCATTTTGGTGATGAGACAGTAACGTATACTTAGTTTTCTCTGTGTTTACTTCTAGACCAACCCCTTTACTTGCGTCAATTAAAGTTTGTGTGTTTTTCTCTATGGTATCTACATTATCACCCAGCAGATTCACATCATCGGCATAGACCAACAGCTGATGTGTCCTGTTTAGTTTCAGTCCCACCTGGTTTCCCTGGACGTTCCTAATTCCATATTCTAAGGCAAAGTTGAAAAGGAGTGGCAATAAAGCATCTCCTTATTTTAGACCATTAAGGATAGGGAAATTATCAGACAAAGGGTTACCTGTACAGACTTTACTATACATTTCGTTTAAACACATTTTAATTGGCCTAACTAGTTTTATGGGTATCCCAAACTCTATCAGAATATTGTACAATACTTCCCTCTTAAATAAATCATAGGCTTTTTTTAAGTATACAAATAGCTGATGTACTGTCTCATTGTACTCTTATTTCTCAACTCCAGTATCTGACGAATGGAAAAGATTTGATCTGTAGTTGAGCTGTTATGTCGAAACATATAGTGATGATCCCCAATAATTTCATCTATGTATGGACTTAACCTTGAGAGAAAAAATTTGATAAAATTCTGTATGAAGTTGTTAGCAGTGATGTCCTCCTGTAATTACTACAATCAGTTTTACCACCCTTCTTGTGAACTGGTACAGTAATAGACTCCTTCCACTGATCAATTTTTCCTTATGAGGACTAGAAATAATTAGCTTGTGGACCTTAGAACGTAATATTTCGCCTCCTGCTTGAATAAGTACTGCCAGAATTTGATCGCTACCTCGAAATTTATACCTTTTCAGTTTTTACAATAGCAATTTGAACCTCAAAAGGGATAGTATAAGGTATTAACAGCTCAGCTGTATGTATTTCTATCTGCCCAACATCACTGAACCTATGTACATTCAATAACTGAGAGTAGTAGTTCTTCCACCTATTCAAAATGTTGTGGCAATCTTCAAGCAGATCACCATTCTCATCCTTTACTAGGTTACCACTCTATATCTTTATGCTGAACTTGAAAGTCTCTTGAAAAGGTCTCATTTTGTATTGCCTACAAATATTCTGAGATGTCAGTGCCGAAATGGCTTTCAAGAAATATTTTCAGACATGGCAAGGATGTTGAAATAAGTGTAAAATGTTGAAAGGTTACCACACTAAGAAGGTTACATTAAAGGTGACCACAATCACATCTTTTTCTCTAAAAATACAGTCACATGGTTTAATTATCCAACCTCCCATAGGCAATTTCCAGAATGTCTGTGGTCAGCTCCTGCTACATAATATTTTTTAATTATTATTGAAACAGCTGAGACAAAATGTGAACATTTTTTCTCATATCAGCACAGCCATGGAGAATATGCATTAACAACTTTGTGTACATCATAGCATAACATACACCGACAATTCAGCAGATCTTCACTTGTCCAATAAGTTTTCATAATATTATCTCACATATTTTCCTTACATTCCTTCCTAACACCAAGTAAGTTGTGCAATATAGTAATGCAGCTGATATTTATTCAAATGGTACCCTTACATTTCATCTGGCTACCTGACTGAGGTTTACCTGACTTAGATTTCTTCACTTTCTCCAAGTGAATACTATGATCATACTTTGATACAAGCCATTACAGTTTCAGCCCTATATTTTCCAGTCCCTTGTACTAAATTATCCTTCCTTCTCTTCTGATACTAAATACCCTCTCTAGTTGATACAGCATCAGTAAGTGGTCTGCAGACGAACCAAGTAAAGGCCAGGTGCATGCATTCCTCATATTGGAATAATCTTATGCTTTTTGCACAGAACACAATGCTACTGACTGGACTGCATAGCTATCACAATGATCCTGAAGTGTGGGGAGATCCTCACATATACCGACCAGAGAGGTTTCTCGATGAAAAGGGACAGCTTCTCAAGAAGGATCTCACCCTGCCATTTGGAGCAGGTTAGTGACTATGCCTGTATCTAATCAGCAAACTTCCAATCATGTTGGAAGGTAAAATTCCTTCTTCTCTGACTAGAAAGTCTGGTACTCACATATTAGCTGGTGACCTAAGTAAGTTCAAAATTGTATGGCCATGCTGTCCATCCAATTAGCCCTGCCAACAATACAAGTTAATTTGTAAAACTAAAATCCAAAGTCTAACCTAAGGAGGTTTTTAGATATTTATTTTTAAATACAAAACCAAAACCCATATATTTCCTAAATGAACCAAAGGGTTAACATTATAAAAACAAAATCAAATACTAAGCTTGTGCATTTGCTGTTGGAGGCACATTCTTCACCTAGGTTTTGGGTCTTGTTTTTACAAGATAACTTCTAAAGTTGGAGGCATTGGCATGTTGAAAAATGTGGTGGTAATTCGACTTTTTGTGTCACTTGCTAATGTATAAGTTAATGGAATATCACAAAGGGCTAATACATAGATAACAGAGTCCTCCCAATTTATTATCTTCTATGACATATTGTACAGTGAAAATTTTTCAAACATGTGAAGATTTTTTAAGGTCATTTTCTGACAAGGAACAGAAAATGCCAACACGATGTCCAGATGTAGGGCAAATGGTGATGGCAAACTTGTGACATCGGTTAAACACCATGTCATTATGTTATATTGTGAAGCACAAGTGAAGCTCCTACTGTTCTTAAACTGCACACTAGACACAGTTGAGTGGCCACTTCATCTTGTATGGTTTAGAAGAGTAATTCATAAAGTAGGAGATGTGAACCCCTGAGGAAGCCATGAAACTTTTTCTGGGAGCGACCAAAAAAAATAGGAAGTTAGAAAAGATTATAGAATAAATTTTGATCATTGAAGCCTAAATTAAATTAAAAACTTACAGTTTATTTAAAAATACTTCATAAATATCATAAATGTTCATTAGCAGTTTCTTTCATTAAACTGAGGAATTACATTTTGAAACATCTTTATATATTGGGGACTCAAACTCTTTGTTCACATCAAGGAAGCCTCAGACTAAAAGAATTTTGGAGCCACTGAACATACATAATGAGTTCACTGTTGATATCATCTTGCAGGGAAGAGACTGTGTGCTGGAGAGACCTTTGGACGTCAGAACATGTGGTTGATACTGACAGGACTGTTGCAAAACTTCACATTAGCTGTGCCCAAAGGGCAAAAACCACCTGACCTACATACAGTTAATGGGTTTCATCAGACATCACCAGAAGTGTGGTTCCAGCCATTGCCTAGAACTTGATCCACAGCAGTAACCTAACACTGGTCTCAGACTATTAATGCATCCTTTATCAGTGATGTTAATCATAATGTATTAAAACCTTTGTTAAAATTTTGCGTGTGGCAAATACAAGAAAAATATGCAGTAACTTACTGTGAAACTCATGCATAAGGCCAGTTTGGAGATAAATATGTAGATAGACAATATAATTAAAATTATCCTGTGAAAAGAAGATGTGTGTATGTTTCACAGGTGCTTAGCTGGATCTGGGCTCAGTACTGGGCTTCAGGTTCTGCAGCAGCAGGGAATTGCTTGAACAGATGAATGCTTATGGGAAGTCATTTTGAATTGCAGGGGATAAATGTGAGAAAATTAATATGGTGAAATGAGAAATCAGCATTGAATCTAATCTGCTTGCTGATTGTGCTCTTTTCAATTATGTATAAAGAGAATTTCATAACATAAATTCCTTACCAACATGTCCCAAGTGTACCTTCATGTAAACGCAGGATTCCATTTCCTTCAGCCATAGCTTTCTGTAGTGACTGCTGTGTACATAATCCACCATGAAAATGTCTTCCCAAATCCTTGAAATGGCAAAATTAATATTTCTAACAAACTAACTCCATGAATGTGAGTCCTTAAGAGTAAACAGTTGGTTAGCCAGGAAGTTCACAAAATTTTGCAGAACCCAAAGATTCATTACCATCTTCACAAGCATCCCCCACTGGTCTCTATCCTGAGCTAGATGAATCCAATTCATAACCCACAACTCCATTACTATAAGATCCATTTTAATATTATGCTCCCATCTGTGTACATGGTTTGACAATAAAGTTCGCGAAATCATCACGTCCCGGTAAAAGTGTTACATACCTCATTGCTGGATATCACTGTTGTCACATTCAAGGCACTCTCCTTGAGAAGCTATGCACTGATGCCAGCGCCTAGTCCAAAACAATTTTGGAACTGGTTTTGTGGATTGGCCTTCAGAGCTGCCATCGTATTACTCCAAATGTCATCAAAATGCCTTCCTTTCAACATTTCCTTTATCTTGGGAAAGAAAAAAAAGTCACTGGGGGCTAGATCCGGTGAACAGGGAGGGTGTTCCAGCATAGTTATTTGTTTACTAGCTAAAAACTCCCTCAGAGACAGTGCCATATGAGCTGCTTCGAAACAATTTTGGCACACACCGTCCTCGTGTCAAGATCTTCATTTCAGATTTTCCTAACTGTTTCTCTATCAATGTTCACTTACTCTGTTATGATCCTGACAGTCAGCTGATGATTTTCACGCGTAATTTGATGAACTTTTGCACTGTTTTCATCAGTTCTGCTCGTTGCTGGCCATCTCTCTTCGTCAGTGACACTTCCTCTTCCATCAGAAAAACCTGCCATCCATTTGTAAACTGCTGTTTTCTTCATAGCATTATCCCTGTAAACTTGCATTAATATTTCTCTGATTTCACTTCCACTCTTGCCAAATTTAACAAGAAATTTAATACTTATTTGTTGCTCTGATTGAAGCTCTGTAAGTCTCATGATGGCACACCAAAACACACTCAGACAAAATAGATGTCACTCAGAAAGAGACTGCCACAGATTGACAACAACACAGCTGTGAAAGGCTGATATGCCAACGTCATCAAACCATACAGTTTTCTCTGTCCACTACACTAAAGTTCGCGAACTTTATTGTCAAACCTCATTAAATCTTCCTATTGGTCTCTTTCCCTCTAGTTTTCCAAAATCCTGTATGGTTTCCTCCTCTGTCATGCATACTATGTTAACTGACAATCTTATCCTTTTGACTTGATCATTTTATTTATATTTGGCAAGCAGTATAAATTTTGAAGCTCCTCATTTTGCAGTTTTCTCCAGCATCCTATCATTTTGTTACACCTGTAAAGAACAACAGCACAAATTATAATTTGTAAACTTTGATCTTCATATTTTTAGGCAGCAGACAAGAAGACAAAAGGTTCTGAGCTGAATGGTAGCAAGCATTACTTGAATTTAATCTAATTTCCTCATCAATCAAACGGGGCGTGAAGCTGACCACTCACCTGCAACTAGTACCAAGGTCAAGAAAATGTGAAACTATACATCCACTCCCCCATACGTCTTAATGGCATAGTGCTTAATTAGTTAAGCACAGGAATACCTTTATCTTTACTACATATACATAAAGAGGTTTTGTAGTTGTGAGAATTATTACTATCATTATTCAGTTTTGGGGTACCATACAGGTATGAAGTATCAACAAACTGCATAACAGAAGTTATGAAGCAGGTCACAAATGAGCAAGCACTCTTTTGTTTCAGTGTATTATGTCGATTTGGTGAGTACTGATAATATTTTAGCATGGATATGTGAAGTGTAGTACACTGTACGAAGGGGATGGTTCATGATTGACTATTTGTTTGTGTTATTCATGGGAGATAGCATTATAAATGTCAGCCTCAACATGTCATTTGATGACATGTTGGACCGGAAAGCAAGGGAAGTTAGTAGTATGAGAGCTTATATGACAAATGATGAGATCTCCTGCTGAATTTTCAGTGTATGTTATGCTACTTTGTACATAAAGTTGTTGATGCATATTCTCTGAGTCATGTGATGATATGAGGAAAAATGTTCAAAACTTTCTCTCGGCTGTTTCAATAATTAAAGCAGACCACAGACATTCTGGAAAGTACTGCAGACAACTGTTTCATTCTCCATTTTTTTCTCTTTGTTTGATCTTGACACAAATATTCTGGCGTCAGTGTAATGTATGTTGCCAGCAGTAAGCACACACTCTGACTCACATTCCTTCCACCTGGTGAAAAATATGTAACCCACCACTGTAAAATCTGATTCAGCAGTTAATGGTTCCTATGGGAAGACTTTTTATAAAATCATGCCACAGCCAAAAGTACTGCATAAAAAGTCGACAAAGAAGGGGAAAACTACAGAAAACTTGTCACAGAGATCAGTATCTGAGATACTGACACAATGATGTGAATCTTAAAACTATCCTCTCTTCATTCTTCTTCATTCATTTCTTTCTCTTCGTAGGTGTAAAAGTTTAGCATGTACCCAGTTTCCATGCAATAAATGGCAAATACTTTTGAACTGAGCTTTATTGGTTGTAGTAGTACTATTCCTTCATTGAACTGCTTTTAAAAACCATTATGCTTTCATGAAGAATAATTAATCTAATCTACCTGGGTTAAATGGTTTTTCAAGGACTTAATTGTTCATCTCCACAGACCCTTCCCCTCTCCTCTCTACTGAATACCCATGTAACCTGTCTCCCTTCTCTTCCTGTTCTTATACAGCTTGGTTTATTCAACTCGACATTAGTCTGTCAGCATGCTGGTTCCTCGCTTCTTCTACCCTGAAGATGGAGGCGATATGTTCCTCCGAAACGTCAGTTAAGGTCCTTTGAAACAATATAAGCTCCTCAGTTTAAATTGTCACAAAAACGAATATACCCGATGTTTTCTTTCCCTAATTTTGTTTTTAAGCATCCTGTTGCATTAATATATTATTTATTTCACACATATTTCCATCTTAAAATTAAATAGTCACCCTTCTTCCACATTACATGGTTCGGCTGTATACAGCCGTCATCAGGTGTCTTCTGTCTTGCTAAAACTGTTCGACTGTATGTCAAAATTTCGTATCACACGTGAACGCATTATTTCCTGATTAAAATAAATTGTTTTCAATCAAAACAAATTACTTAACATCACAATGTTTTCCTTACGGTCGTCGTCTTCCCTTCTCGTGCCGTCTCAACCGGTCTCAACTACCACCATATTATGACAGGCTCAGGATTATTATCTTTCATTGAAGAAAGTAAGTGCACGAAATTAAAAAATACAATCATGCATTATGTAGGACAAACATACCCAATTAAGATGAGGTGAGCAACTAATCAGACATGAGTTTTCTTAGTGTGCGCCTGCTAATCTGGAAACCAGTGGCCTGCTTGAAATCGGTGATATTTCTCAGAAATTGGGGTTCTGTTGTAGTTGCAAGTTTCCTTGGTGTGCCCTCGGCCTTACAGTTCCTGCACTCATTAAATTTTGGCCATAAACCATGCATAATTCCTACTGGATTTCAGCAGTACTCACATTTTTAGAGTGAGAAAAGCAGATTACATGGCGAATTTCGCAACTGGTGGGACTATCAACTGCAGGATACATCATAAATCATTCTGTAAAGACAAGAACAAACCCTAGGTGACAAGTTATGTGATGGCTTACAAGGCAATGAGTCATCTGATGCTACTTTGCATGCGTGAGCTCCACCCCTCTCCTGCACTGGTTGCCTTAAATAAACGAAGGTTACTTTCCAAATAGCCCTCATATTTGCCATTCAGAGAATTCTTGACAGTTACTAAGCTGCCGATGGTACTGAAATACTGCAATTGCTTATTTCCAGTATACCTGTATTTTGTGAACTGCAGACATAAGAATAATATTATACTATAGCATGGTATCTCATAACACCTTCGGTGTAAAGCGGCCGGGGCGTGAAGCTGACCACTCACCTTCAAATAGTACCGAGTTCAAGAATACGTGAATCTATGCACCCACTCCCCCATATGCCTTCATGGCGTAGTGCTTAAGCACAGGGACTATACCTGTAGCTTTTCTATTTGAGCGATTTCAAAATCCAAGCGCCGCTAGAAATCACTGCATCGAAACCACAAATACCTTCTTCCATGATTATTTAAAACGGGCAGAAAACATACACGCTAATACTCGAGTAGTGGCGCCAGGAAATTCGCTGCGATTAGTTCGGCTCGTATCGGCTATGATCGCTGTGGTCGTTTGATGGAATTTGTAATTAGGAAGGCGGTCGTGCGGAATTCTTAACGTTCCTAACCTTCCTAACGTATTCATACCCCTGTTTCAGATCGAAGTGCAATCATAAAGGTAAATGTGAAGTTTTACGTGTCCATACTTTTTAAAATATTTTATCAACAATATTGCATCCTAAACACAGTGTGAGCAAATGTTATACATCTCTCCTTCCTAATAATCCGAAGCAAGTGTTGTCATTGTTAAACCCCCACGTATTGGTGTTGCGAAATAGGCTCCCGGCTAATCTTTAGTTCTGAAACAGACTGGTGTCCAGTCGCCTATTTAATAGGTAGCGAGAAGCGAAGTTGATCACTGTCTTCCACATAGTGTTGAGGTTAAGAGTGCCATGCTCAATAAGAATAAGGACATTTCTCAATGGCACACTGATTAATTGTGAAATCTTCAGTTACAGTTGGAAGTAGAAGGGCATGAACATATGCGCTACAGAGAAATAAAAAATAAATAATTAACATTTAGATAACTTAAACATGCACACGTCAGTGTTACCGTATTGCCTACTAGGAATAAATTACTCGAAGACAGGGTAAATAGGAAGAGAAACGTATATGGGAATAATCTGATATAATACACATGATTCTTATAGAAATTGAAGAAAGCCTA